AAGTTCGCTCGTGCGTAACTCTTCGAAATTTATTATTATTTTTTCCTCTCGATTCCTCCGTGGAGGAATCGCGGCGTAGAAAGGTGGATTAGCATAGAGAAACGTTGACACCGTTTCGAGCCCACGAGACGAGAATTTATGCCGCGTTTTCGGGGACGAAAGATTTTCGACAAAATAATCGATTGGAGGACGTAGAAATCGTGGAAGAGGCGACGCTTTACGAAAGCCGGTATACTTTCCATATAATTCTCTTAGATCGAGCAGGGACGACCGGAGGATAATATATCGTGAAAAAGGGATTGGTCGTACGTTAACCAGCGTTACACCTGCGAACCGATGAGGAAACTTCATGGCCAGCCACCCACGCGCGCCTCAGTCCGTGTCTCTTTTATCCCAGTCTCGAACCGACCACACGAATTAAGTGGACAAAGATTCACACGGCTCCGCTCCGAGCTGTTTCTACCTGTTTCCTCGACTCGCTCTTATGCTCGTCTTATTTATAACTTCAGCCTAAACTGTTTTCATCTCCGATTGCGTTTCCAATCTTACGAATTTACCATATTTACAATCCTCCTTTATATCTATATAGAGATATTCATAATTGAATATGTATATTTCCACTCTTATCTTTACGGATATCGTACATAAAAGAAAGAAAGAAGAAAAAAAAAAGAAATCTTCCCCGACATAAATCAAAAGAGATTATCGATAGAGATTATTGTCTTAAAATCGAAATATACCCAATATTTCTACGTTTTCGACAAAATCGGATAACAAACGCGTGGAGTTTGCGTAATCGACAAAATTTTAAACTCGATTTTTTGTCCTTTTTTTCCCTTTCTAAATAAAATAAACTTTAAACGTCGATATTGCATTTTAATCAAAACGTTCACGTGCAATAGAGACATTGATCGAACGAATATATATTTATAGATAGCGCGTATGGAAAGATGAGTGACACTATGCATCACCTTTAACCTAAATCTCGCGACGAGTTTTTCACGGGGCTCCGCCTCGACTTGTCGCGGGTCAAACGTATCTTTCGATCCTTTCTTCCGTCAAGACTTTGCTCGGTTCATTAGGCCATTAGCCTAACAATGCATGGAGTGTCCTTTATGCAGCGTTTACATTTGAAACGTAATAGCCACGTACTCTCTAAGCACGAACTACGAGCGCGGCAAGACTGCAATTTGCATGACATATCTCACTCCCCGCGAATGCGTACAATCTTTGTACACGCAGGTGACAATTCACCGTTCGTGTGTTACACACGAGCTCGAGATTTGTTCTCTCGCGTGTAATTAGCATAATGGTCGATCATTACGACCACGTCGTCGTCCTATTTCCGTGGGCGTCGAACGAGTCGAAATATACGCGAGCAACTTGCTCAAAGGACAAAAGATCCACCCAACATATTTATCCTCCGATCAAACTTTTCGTCCACGAAATTAAACCATGAAACGACGACGACGACGACAATCTTTGAATTTTCTTCCACTCTCTTTTGGATGATTCCTCCATTGGATGATTCGAGCTAAAATTTTCTTCTAAAACTCTATCGAATTCTATCGTATTGAAAAAAAAAGAAGAAGAATCACGATAATGACGGATTATTAATCGCAACTGGAACGAAGAAAATTGCTTCGAGATATCTTTTCGAAACTCGTGCAAGGGTTTTGAAAAGCGACGCGCATCACGTGGCGAGTACCTGCACTCAATCCAGTTTCAACGTCGCGTCCAGCCCCTCGAACGCACACTCTACAATTTACCGCCAGTCCACCACCACCACTGGGGATAGTTAAATCGTTAATCGGCGGCCATTACGACCGCCGACGATCGACGTCGTCGTCTTTGTTATCGTCTTCGTCCTTCACGGCGCATTCGCCGATTGGCTACCGAGATACGGATTGGCTCGATCTCGTCGCCGACAATCGGCAACGATCAGGTGCATCGAAAACGCGTGTACCCGTGGGGAGGCTGTGAAAGGGGGAATGGTCAAGCGGACGACCACAGGCGTTCGATTAAACGCGGTAGCCGAGGCATCGCGTTCGTTCGCGCAATTACACCGAATGCAATCTCCTAATTGCAACGCCGCCAACATCCGAACGAAACACGCCGTGTTTCTCTTTTCCTCTTTTCGATTACACCAACGATGAAATATAATCGCATATGATAAATTCTGCAACTAACTAAGAACAGAGAGGAACGATGGATCGAGAGGTTGGGATCGTGGAAGGAAGGGAAAAAAGTTCGTTTCGCCTTTATCGAGTTTGATCACGTGGCCAGCGTGCGAAGTTAGGCGGAAATAAGAAAAGCGGGCACGGGAACGACAGGACGTGTAATCGTCTTCGGATTGGAGCCGGAGTATAATCTTATCGCGATAGATAGCGCGCACTTTAATCCTCTCGCTTATTCTATTTCTGCGGAGAGGAGTGCTCCCGCGTGGCGAGGGGGGCCGTTGGGGTGGGTGGGGAGGGGGAAGATTGCAGGGGCTGCGGCAGGGAGCGGAGCGAAAGGCCTTGGATCTGCATAGCAAATTGGCGATCGATATACGGTCACCGTACGGCGAATCGCGCGAGCCTCGAATTAAAGCTTATAACTTTCATGTCCGGCGCAATGTATCATTATGCGCAGGGCGGCCCTGGTCTTGATGCAGCTGCCCGTATGCGGCGCGCAATGCCGCCGCTGCTGCACCGCCACCGACAGGCGAATATGTGCGTAAACCACGATAAATCGTCCACGTAGAGATACGGATCGACGAATGACAAGTCGGCCGATGGGCGGCGCTCCGCCGATCTTTTTTTCCACCGTGACGACCTCTCAGAGAAGATCGCCACCGCGAGCAATTGCGCAATCCTCGGGTACAACAGTAGGCGACACGCGCTCCTCTATTCTCGCTCGAGAGGGAGGCGAGGAGGAGGGGTGTCTCGAACGAACCATTAGACCATTGGATCGATGGAATATATATATATGTGTGTGTGTGTGTGTGTATTCTAGAATCGCTTTGGCACGGCTGGTCGCGCGAATCAACTGGTACGCGGCACGCAAAAAAATTGTCGTGAATAACAACTCTTGGTATTAATGAACCGAATGAAGAAAAGTAATGAGGTTTTTTTCTGTCTTTCTTCTTTTTTTCTTTTTTTTTTTTTGGAATCGAAAAAAAATGGAAAAACAATATTTTCTTCGAAGAATCTTGGTATCACCGGCGGAGGAACCATCAGCTGGAAGAGAAGAATCGACAAGGAACGTTCTTGTTGTTCGGTGTGTTTGCAAATGAAACCGGACAGCCGTGACACCTGACACCTGGTGCACCGTCTTACGCCATCTCGCTTTTTCACCCGCCGAAAGAAGAGCGCTCGCTTCGCCGTTTATCGTTGTGTACGGGTCCGATTAAGACAATAGAGGTCTATGGTTCGCACGATTAACGTTTCATTGCCCTCTATACGAGTGAATAAATTTTATTACGCCTCGAGTCAATGGATACATCATTATGCGCCAGTTTGTTTCACGTGACGGGTTTTAATGCAATCGTTACGTCAATAATGGAAACGAGCGTAGGTATTCTAAATTCTATGTTCCACGCGATATGAATCAGCTACTGAGAATAAATTTTTGCAACGTGGCATTGGACGCGCGAACTACTACTACTACTACTACCACGAAGGAGGAACAAGAGTCGGTATTGTAAAATTAACGCATAATAAAAACGGAATATACGATCGGCGGCAATTCAATTCTTAATTATTACCAAACGAAATTGTTGCGAACGACAATTTTTATGTGAGACGACCATGCGCCCCGATGCTCGCGCGTTGGCAGCATCGACACAAAGGATTAGCACGCGCGCGTCACGCTTAGCACGCGCATCAGAGTCACGAGCCGTGAAGGGACACGCGTAAAAGAGATTGGTCGTAACAGATCGTTCTACGTGGCTGGGCTAACGCGCGTGTTCGCTCCACTTCCGATATTAAGCCACCCTCGCACGTGACGTTGCAAGCTACCGGTCGAAGACGGTTAAACCCGCGACAAAAAAAAAAGAAAAGTTTTTTTACCGACACGCGCGCACGAGTTCACACGTGTAAACAGGTTGGCGGTAAAAAAAGAAAAATAACAAACGGAAGAACACGGTTCTGTGACCACGTGAAACTTCACGAGGAAAAAAAATGATCAGCTCGAAACGCGAGAAGTTTGATTTATCGATGATAAAATTAAACGAGTTTATAAATTCGTTACGACGTTATAGGATGGAAAAGGTCGAGCGTGAAAAGAGATGTTCACGCGCGTTCGCCGTAACACGCGCATCCGCTCTACTTCCGACGCTTAGCGCCGCGACGCTTCAACGAGTTCGACGCATGGCATTAAACCGCCCTCGCACGTGACGATGGGAGGAGAGCTGTGTGTGACACGGATTATAAATGTGCTCGACACTGTCATCGAGGGTGAAGAAAAAAAAAAAAAAAGGCTTTGATATCAATTATTGACTATCGTACATACAGCTTCTACATCACGTTCTCTACGTGAAATTTATTTTCTTCGTTAATACTCTGGTATACGTATATATATATATCCATCCATACGTATGTCTATAATGAAACGATAATGAAGAATAATTCTTTTTTTAAAATAATTTTTCGAACGAAACATTGTTATACGATACATTATTTCCGAAATGCATAATTCATATAGAAGATTATACAACGCGCGTAAAAATGGCATTGGTTAAAAATGGCTGTCGAATTGTTATTTTTCAGAATCGAAGAGTATAGAAAAAAACAAGTTATATATATTATGCACGAACTTCAATCGAGAATTCGACAAATAAAAACGATGATACCGATGATATCGATAATTACGTTGTATAGATTTAACCACGATCGTATAATCCTGTAATGCAAGCACTCGACTGATAGATAACGCGCGATCGTGTGTGTATCTTGGTCGCAGCGTGCCGCGTAATGTCAATGTAACGAGGTAAAAGAAATTGGCCTTTTATGGCTTACCCGCTGTTCGTTAAAAGCTCCCGCGCATCCGATGCTTTCAAAATTCAACTCCTTCCACGATGCGAATTAAACGAAGTCGTTTCGAGTGTTAACTTCCGACGAATAACGATGTCACGGATCACAAAGACAGGCACTAAATTTACTTTTAAAACGAATATCGTTCGTTATCACAGTAGCGATTGTCTCCGAGCCGTCGCAACGAGTTTCTTGCACGGTCGGTAACACAACCCAAGTGGTAAATATAGACGACTATTAAACAACAATCAACACCGATAATCCTTCGATGATCGATCAAAAAATCGAATATCACACACAATCCACGCCGCGCCCCAGTTATCATTCCTTTTTCATTTTTCTATCTATCCACGGTAATAGGTAGAAAAACGACACTCTCGTCGTTATTCTGTCCCTCACTAGTTTAATTCTATCTCCATTCGACAAAATGGCACTACGGAGGAAAAGTTCCTCGCTCGATCGAAACGTTATGAAAAGCGTATCCTTTGCTCGGTGAACACACACGTTCGTGCGAACGCACTTATTCCCAGTTCTGTTCGTGAGCTGCGCACAAACACGCTACAAACCGATACGTTTCGTAAATAATATACAACCAGGCACATCGAGATCACAGAGACTTCTTCGGTCCGTCGGTATCCAACCGATCGTGTATTTCTTCTCTAAAATCACACCCCCGTGTTGATATTAAACTGTAAACGTCGTAGGTACAGCGATATTTTTGTAACTTTCGAATTCGGTCGAAGGCGTGTACTTAACTTTTGGATGCGGTTTACGAACACGGTCGTTCCTTCTCTACGTACGTACGTATAGACGAGGAAAAAAAACCGTTTCTCTCGTTTGGTCACTCGGTGAGCGGGAAGGGGTGGTTCGCGACACGCAGTCAACTTCGTTTCTTCTTTCCTCGCACGTTTTTTCTCCTATATTCTGTCGTCTAATGATTTTGTTTTTGTCGTTGTCGATATTCTTGTGCGAGTAAGGTGATTATAAGGCGAGTGTGATGGAAAGAGAGAATCTGAGAGAGGCGTTTGCGTACATCCACATATATGACAACACACCGACCCTTCCAGTAGCGCGGTCTCGCGCCGACTGCGAGACTACGACGGCTCGCGGGTTTCACCTTCGGCCGTGTTCGACTCCCTTCGCCCCTCTCACTCTACACGTACACAGACCGCGTCCCCACACATTTTCGTGTGTGCGAACCTTAACTCCCCTTCTCTCCCCACTGCTCGACCCGTGACAGCTATCCCCACTGTCGTTACTGTTCGGCCAGACTCGCCCCCCTTCGTGTTCTCGTCGGCCTAACCGAGCTCAGTAGGCACGAGGTGGGCGCACGAACACTATCGTTTCCGAGTGCACCTACGAGAATCGAACCACGCCTATCCCCCTACCCATGTTCGCGCGACCGGCCACCTCGTGCTGTTTTTACCGGCAAGGTAACCGATGACGAGACAGAGAAAGAGAGTCGTGGTGGATTCGCTCGATGGAAGTGAAGAATGAGACAGAGAGGGAAGTCTCTTTTACTGGTTTCTCTACTACGGCCTGCCCACGCGCCGAGGATGCGTGCTTGCGCGCGCAAAAGCTCGTTGATAAGGAACACGTTGCACAGGATGTTGAGAATTTTAAAAGTCGATGGGAATTGATGCCTTCCAGACAAATTACGACGACTTTCTCGTTACGACGTTCTTTCCATTGTGATGGATTTAAAAAAAAAAAAAAACGCAATGTTTATTATCGTATATTATATTATTCATTGGTGTGTTCTTTATGTTACTGCGCAACAAGTGTGCGCCTATGGGGAGTCACGTGACAGTTCTTCCCGAATAACCGTTCGTAAACACAGTTCGTACTGTGGCAAAGAATTTCTCGTAAAATTGATTCTGTGAAGTGATCTACAAAAAGTGAACAGAAGATAAGCAGAGTTTTGTTGTCTTTTGCAAGTCTTTTCAAGTATATTATTTATCTCGTCGAACGTGTATAGTAAGTACACAATACGTATATATATCATTTCGTGAAACGAAGCATGAAATATATCTACACAATCGTCGTAGTTCACGCATCGTAGGTGTAATAAATGGCAACTTTTTTCTCCAACATCTTCGATAAAAATGTTTAACGTGTCTCGCCTCGTCTATGACTTTCGTAAACAAAACGTCCCTTGAGATATTGACACGTGGTTAAGGTTCTAGCCACGCTTTAGACACGTGTCCACTACATCGAAAGTACTCGCTAAGTGGTCGCTCCGACCATTTGAATTTTTTCTAGACGTTAGTGTTTACCATCTTTTTCTGTTTTTTTCTTCTTTTTTTTTTTAACGGAAGAACCAAAGACGCGCACGGACCGATACCATACTACGAAGAACCGTAAAGTGCAGAATACTCAAGACGATTTATTTTAGGAACTCGTACATGAATATATTCAATGCTCGTCTATTTCCTTTCAAACATTACACAGAGGCGTATTAACGTATTTGCTGCGTATTAACTACGCATTTCTATATTAACGAGCATATGACGTGCTTTTATAGAAGAATCTCATTTTATTGATCGAAATGTAAAAAGAGAGAGAGAGAAAAAAATAACAATTAGTTTATAAATTTTTTAATAAAGTCTTTCGACGAATCGTAATCTTTTTGTTTGCTCATTCGATCGTGCGAGGCGTGTGTAACTTGCGTGTAAAAACATATGCCAAAACTGCGAATCTAACCGGTATAATTAAGACAAATCGATAGGTTCGGGATAAATGTATTACCTCTCTTGCATTAGATATAATTACTTGATTCGTGTCATTAGATTTAATGAGGTAGGATTCGTAGTGACGCCTTCTAGAAAATTCGCGTTTTCGAGCTGTCCATCCCGGGCTGCCAAGCTACCCACGCATTTTCGCCGATCGACCCGTACAATCTAAACATACAATAATTACAGATTCGATGCTGGCTCATGCATACAAGTATTCATAAAGCCGCGTCACTCGCTTCGTTGTTTCCTTGATTTCCATGCCAACATGTCGATTGACGTATCTTGTTTGTGACGTAGCTGATTTATTCTCTATATCTAAGATTACATCGATCGTAATTTCCTTATCGTATGTTCTATCTATCTTTCTTTTTCGCGAGAGAAAATTGCACATAATTTTTCGCCTTGGACATCGTATCGTACGTGACAAAGAAATTTCACTTTTTATTTCGCTCGTGTTTCAAACAATAAATCCTCTTTGTCTTTCACGCGGTACTCGTCGAAGGGAAGCCGCGTCTCCTTTTTTTTTTCTCTCTCCTCTCTTCTCTTTTTTCGAACGACTTTCACGTCACGACGATCCCACACGCGCGTACGCGCATTGTCACGCACGCCTTCCAAGGTTTCTGAGGTTGCACCTGGGTCGAACGTGTACCCACCTTTTCCGCAAGAAAAAGATCCTTACCTAAAGGCACGCACGCACGAGATGATCCAGCTGTTTGATCTTTGCCACGTGCTCCCTTTTTATCTCGTTGCTTGGGGTGGCCGGCTCCTTAACGGCATCTGCGTTTACACAATTTTTCCCGCGTTTCTTCAATTTCGGATCGCGAGGTCCCGTTACGTCGTGCATACTTTTACGTCGTAAAATACTTTGCAAAGAGTCGTATTATACGAGTGTATAATAATTTGACGTTGAATCATTTGAAAAAAAAAGAAAAAGAAAGAAAAAAAGAATCGAACGATAATCTAAATATCTTCCTTTGGCCACGCGATCTTCCTGACGATGATTTCGAGAGGGCTGGTTTACGATGACGGCGAAACTTTTGAGATGGTTCCACGGTCATTAGAGGGACAGCCGTGTAGAGGCAGTCGACGAAAGATGCGTTCACGTAGGATCCAGAATTTGGGGAGAAGGTCCACGGCGACCCGTATACAAATCCCGAAATAAATGTCATCGTGTATCATCGTGGTAACGTAATCCCGGATCGCGAAGACAAATGGCGGCAGAATACGATACGATGCACCGCGGTCGGTCGTCCGAGATGAGGAGCCTTCTCGTTCCACGTATTTACATACCGCGACGAACGAGAAGATCCGTAGGACGGGGTTCTGGCTTCTCTTTCCAGAGCCAATGTACAAAGAGGATCGAGATGAAGGAAACGAGCGAGACACGCGTGTGTCACCAATAGCGTAACATCCACGAAGGACGGCCGATGACTCGTCTACCGAGGAGCAGGATCGGATTTTCACTTCGATTCGATATCTATCCATTCCTCTTAAGAGAATCGGGGGGAAAAAAATTTGTTTCTCGTAATCAATAATAGGGATCAGGGACGTTAATAAGTTAAGAAAGTTGGAATCGATTTAATGATATAATACGATAATACGAAATTCGTCTCGAATTTTTCTTCCGTAAAAGTGATGGATGGGATAGGAAATTAAACGTGGAATATATATAAAATCGTATTTGTCACACGTGATATTTGGAAAGATGGAATCGTTAGATGTTTCGTAATGGAAGGAGGTGTTGGTGGGGATGAACGGCACGTAGCCGTAGCCGCGGCCCTGCGAATGGAAAAACAAATCGGTCGGTCATGCGTCAAGATTTTAAGCAAACACGTGGTGCGTCCGCACATTCGTCCATCCGCGCTGGACACGCAACGTTGGTCAGCGCGGTATTAAAAAGCGCGCGCGTTTGCTCTGTCTCGAAGACCACTTCACGGCCACGTATATACCCTAGAAGAGGAGTCTAGCTCCGAGAACTCTCCTCCCGATTTAGCCGAACATGTAGCCGCGTCTACTCACCTTGAGAAGGTCTTTCAAGGTTGAAAAGTCTAACGACCGACCAACGCGGGCAAACGTGCGAATTACCCCAACACGATCGATCCTTCAAATACCCATCGTTGTCGCCACCGAAATCGCTGTATCCTGCTAATCAGGGAAACACACACGCGTCGATTCGAAAAACTCTCCGAATGATTAAGCCAACCAACGTAACGCGAGTGTCCCTTTGCACAGAGAAAAGAGAAAAGAGAAACACGGGAGAAGAGTAGCGGACTCGGTAACGAAGACTCGAACCGAGTCGAACCCTTTGAAAAATTAATCCTGAATTATGACCGGCCTCTAATGTAATCGGCTCGGAACGGGATCGATCGAGGGACAACAGGGAGGGAGGAGAAGGGGATGGGAAAGGAGTACAAGGATAATTTGTCCTTTAGGTAGATATATCAGAACCACTTTTCCGCGGCTAATCTGGGTGACGGGAGAGGAAAAAAAGGAAAAAAGAAGGAAGGAGCGACTACTCGTGGTGGAGGAGACAAGAGCAAGTGGAAAGCGTAGGCGGGGCGCATACCAGAGGCACCTGCTCATTTACTTTGCGGCGGTCGGCCGGTCGGCAGTCCATGGTAGGAGGGGATCCTCATTAGGGTTTGCCCCTACCAACCTATCGCCACTACCACTAGCGCGCTCTGTTTGTACACGCGACGACTATAAACGAGATCGTGGCCACCGTTGCAAGCAACGTTTTCCTCCGTTTCTCGGGGAACGAGGCCAATTAATGGCTCTCCCTTCTGCCGCGCGGGGATGAATACCTTCACGACGCGGACTCGTGGCGGCGGTAGTAACGGTGGGAGTCGGTGAAAAAAAGACACAGGTTTTCTGAGCGAGAGCTCTCGTGTAGCTACAAGCTCCTTAATGACCGACGATCGTGTCAATTGTCAACCGTGAAGATTGGGATTGAGCGCACCGCTCGAATCCGTTCGAAGGGGCCCGCGGCACGATTGATCAAACGTTTTTACGACGGACCGTTCGTTGTTTTTTTTTTTTTTACGTTCTGAATGATGGTAAGTATAAGTGGTGATCTTTCGAGGGGAATTTTATTTCTCTCTCGAATAACGTTTTCCTCTTTACTTACGGGCGAAAATGAATGAACGAAGGAACGGGCGAGGATCGTTTAGATGGGTGGGGATGTCGAATCGCGTGAATAGGGGCCGAACAAAGGGAGATTCGTTTCCGTGATCGATCCTCTCGCGCGCGCTCGTTCGTCCGCTTTTCCTTGCCACCTGTTGCTGCTTTCGCTCACGGGACCCCTCTAGCCGTCACGATTTCCTTCTGATTATCGTATGGACTATCGAGCTCTTCATCAAGATA